TTACTTCTTCCAGCTGATGTTCCACTTGTTTCTTCTGTTGTTTCTGTGGGGAGAGTCAAATTCAGGTGACTGAGGGGGGCCCCCTCAACTCTATTCCCCAGACCAGGAAGCGGTAGGCAGGGGCCAGGAATGGATTTTAAGGGCAATGTTCTCAGACCCAATGGCAACAGGAATGGGTCAACTCTCCTCAAGCTCGCAAGGACAGAGCATTTGGGTCTTTGTTGGGTTTTGCCCACAGCCACAGAACTCAAAGTCTGAATCTGGATTCTCTCGAAAGGACAGTAACATAAACCTCTAGAGACGGAGTCTGAGAAAGGCCCACCCTTCTGCCAGCTTGTGATTGAGAAAGGTGCGTTCATTCAACAAACATTTACTGAGCATGTACAAGCCAGGTGCAGTTCTTCACAGCAGATATAGGACAGAAAAGGACAGACAGGAGCCCTTGGCCCTGAGGTTTCCATTCTAAGGGCCTTTAAATCTCAGACTTTCAGAGCTAACAGAGATTTTGATACTCTACCTCCTCTGGAAACAGGAGCCCAAGGAGGAGAGGTGGCTTGTCCAGACTCAAAGAGCAAATTAGGGACTGAGTCATGGCAGAAATACAGGACCCTTGACAAACCATCAGGCTAGCGCTTCCCTGAGAGGAGAAAACCCCAGGGCATGTGTGGCAAGGACTGGAGCAGGGGTGTCTGGAGAAGAGAGAGTCAGCAAAGGGGGCAGTGACAGAAGAGCCATGCTGCATGCTCCTTGCTCTGGGGTCCCTCCAGGTGAGGCCTGGGTGCTCCAGCTCCCCATTTGCCCTTGGCACCAGGGGACCCAGCCCATTTCTTCAGAGCCCCAAGGGGAAACTAAAGCCCAGGATTGGCAGCATGGAATCACAGGGCCCCAATGGACTCTTACCAGTGATTCTATGTTTTCACTGAGTTGATTGATTGTTGCGGAGCTTGAGTCCAGGGCTACTTCCAGTTCTTGGTTCCGGCTCTGAGGCACATGCAGAGAGGAGGAGTTGGAGGAGGATTGTGGGAAGAGGTAGAGAGAACAATCATTAGGGCTGGGGTGTGTGTGGACTGTCTCAGGTGGCAGAGGGGCACCCAGCCCCCACTGTGAGAGGAGGTTGGAGGGCTGGCCTGCAGGGTCACTGCACATCAGCCCAGGGCCTCTTACTTCCAGAT